CGGGCGCACAGACATATGCTTTCAAGTTGGCGGGCGATGGGGTGGAGGGGCTGCGCGCAGCTGCTGAGAGCGCGCCCAGAGCGATTCCTGCGGGTCCCTGGTTCCCCCCAAACCCGGTACCAGGTGCGCGGGCAGGGTTGAGCAAACCACGCAGCGGAGCAGTTTCCTCCGGTAAAGTTGAGGATGGAGCCCTTATTTTCTCACCGTGCCCGCGGTACAAGGGTCCTGAGAGTGCCGCCCGGAGCCCCCGGTGTGGAGGAGCTGGGAGGGTCGCTGCGCCCCCAGGGCAGAGCTCCTCCACCCCAGGCTGAAATCTATGAAACACCCAGATCTTCGCTTCCCTGGCGTCGTCTAGGAAAACCATTCTTGCCAAAACGGAGGTAGGCTCCCGGGCGGCATGGCTCCCTACCTCCAGGGCGCTTGCTAGGGCGATGCCCCTTTCCCCAACCTCAGAAGTGGCCAAGGGCGCCGGTGCCTTGTTAGCCCTTGAGGTGGCCGGAATGGAGCCCCACACACATGGTGGGGCAATGTGTCTGGGGTAGGTGGCCAGCCTAAGTTTTCCTCCAGCCCTTTCCTGGTTTTACAGCACCCTACCATCCCCTCCTCCCCTAACCCTCCTCCCTCTCCTCCCCCTTTCATCTTAGCAGAGACAAGACCTGGAGGGAGAGGTGGAGAGTTTGGGTGGACATAGACCTGTATCTGCCTTAGGCCCGGGGCCCCAAGACTAGGAAATCCTCCCCCCTTTCTCTTACTCTTCCTTAGGGGGCTGGGTGGGAGGTAACAGCAAGAATGCCCGCTTCATCTCAACTGATCTCCCAAGATCTTGTTCTCGGCGACCCCAGGACCCTGGAAATGGCTTTGTGTGGATAGTGAGGGTGTGGAGGATACTGATGGTTTCTCTTGGCTCCACTTTTTTCACTTCTTGTTTTGAGTTTTGGGGTTTTGCCTGCACGCGAGTCAGAGCTGTGCTGTCATACTCTGAGGGGGTGGGGGTGGAGGAGCTTCAACCCGGCAGCAAGCCCTGCACGCCTGCCTCAGAGGCTGCGAGTGGGAATTGGTCCAGAAATTATTATGCAGGCGAGAAATATGCCTCTCTTTTTTGGCTGAACACCTTAGCTGTTGGGTTTGTGTGTTAATTTCTTAAAGGGGCACCCACACACTGCTCAAATGTCAAGGGGCTCTCCGTGGGTGCTACCTGCTTTCCTGTGTGTTTTTCCTAGGGGTAATTTGCTCTGGCGCACATTCCCTCATGTGGAATCCCTGGTGTGGTTGCATATGTTATAGAGCCAGATAGACCAGATGTCAGGCTGTAGCTTTACAGGGCATGACTGTGCTGGCAAACTTAGCCACCCTGGACTTCAGTTTTCTCTTCTGTCACATGTGGACATAGTGACCTTATCTCCTTTCATTGCAGGAGACTTGGGCGAAATAATGGGAGTGAAAAGTGCTCAGAAAAATCTCAAAACACTATTGATGTCTTACTGTGTTTGTGCTTTTTACTCGGTTTCTTTCACCTTTCCCTTTTTTTTTTTTTTTTTTTTTAAATGAACCACTTCTTTTAATTATAACAAGACATCTAAGTCTTTTCCCCTCTGTCCACTCCTTACCGAGAGATTTAATTGCTAGGGTCTTTTGGAGTAGCTATTTGTCTTTTTTTTTTTTTTTTTTTTCTCTTCCCGTAAATCCATCTCTTTTGATGCCCCAGTCCTCATATTTACTGGTATCTGAGAGAAACATGGTGTGGATGAGGAGACAGGGTGGGATCACCTTGAAATGTTCAGAGTCCTGGGCCCTGGTTTCAGATCCAAAGCTGATGAACAAGTCAGCAGACTCTAGGCTAGAGCTCTGGCTTGACCTTTAACAGTGACCTTGAACTAAGGACTCAACTCCTTGGGGAAATCAGTCTATGAGGTTAAGCAATGCTGAGCAGAGGCAAGAACAGGTGAGATTGTCTCTGACACACTTAGTAAAGGTTTCATCAGGCTCCTGAGCCCCCACCCTCTGCATCTTCCCCAGTCCTAGGGCAGTAGTTCTCAAACTGTAGTCACCTAGAGTACACCTATAGAACCACTGACCTAGGAGGTGAGAGGGAGTAAGAGAATGAGGTTTGTTCTGGAATGTCATTGTTTTAATATCTCACCTAGAGAGACAGTGTTTCAGGAACTTGTCTAAACCACTTTGTATTTCCAGTACCCGTGCCTATTACCACTATCCTGTTTGAATCATTCTGATTGCTCTTCAAATGAATTATTTTTCACACACACACACACACACACACGCACACACACACACACACACACACACACAGAGATAGAAAGATAGGATCGCCTCTCCTTTTTGTACTGTATTTAGTCATTGGTTCCTAGGTCATTCTTTGGTAGACTGAGGTTGGTGATAAATCCAACAACTGCCCCATTTCCTTTCTTTGGGAACCTCAGGCATTTGGAAAGAGGAGGTTGCATAAAGTTCTGGCAGCTTGAACCTTAAATTTGGAGAATGCATGAGCAAGTTTAAAAAGAATTGCAGTGTGGTGTCTTCTCATAATGGGCAGCTTACCCAGGCCTTGGAGCAGGTGTTGTACACCCCATGACAGATGTCCTATGGTGGCCACATCTGGGGAAGGCCTTCCATTCCTTCTGGTAGTAACTGAGATGCTCCCTCACTCTCCAGTGGGGAGTAAGGCCAAATGACAGGGGCAGCAGTACAGTATCAGTGCTGCTGGGTGTGATTTAGCTTATAAGCAAGCACTTTTGGGGCAAAGTCCAATCTTAAGTTTTTCTCCTTGTCCCTTTAAGCGATGGTCCTGGGCTGGGAGCTATGACTTATGGTAGCCTAGATTGTGGCAATGATTTTTAGCTACTTTTTATCAGAGAGGCTTGGATCCTGCTTGAGTCAGGCAGTTCCCATCCTAAAGCAGGAATAGGGTTATGTAGCACCCACATGGACTAGGTATGAGAGAGAGTCAACATTTAAACTAATTTTGTGTTGCTGTGCCGAATGAAGTGTCACCTGGCCATCATGCTTTATCTCAGCTTTCCATTTGTTCTTTGTTATGGTTTTAAAATGACCAGCACTAGAAAAACCTGTCAGTAAAGCAGAAACCTATTAAGAAGCTCGAGTGTGGCACTTGGTGTTAAAGTAGATAACACTGCAAGACCCAAGCCTGTCTTCCTGCCTCTAATCAGGAAGAAATCATCTTTGGGTTGTAATTCTTAAGCTTTACTAGCTAATTTAAATGGTTTTGGCATTTAACATAAGTAGGGAACATTTCTGTTTTAAAATTCTTTCCCATAACTTGATGTTTATATTTTGGATGCTACGCCTACTTTCCATCACTAGGATTTTTTCCCCCCCAGTGTTGGGAAAGCTGCTTTCCTTATCACTGTTTTTCCCTGTTCTCAGCATGTGACTATATTCTATCTTTGCTCCCTTGGATAAATCTGTTTTGAGTCAGTCATTATGATACTTTATTTCTCTTTGGTCATCAGAGCTGTTGTTACTGGGTCATAGAGATTCAAGGCCCATTCCTGGAACATGGTTCCAGCCTTCCTAGAGGGTGCTTTTTAACTAAAACTTGGGTTGTATTGTACTTGCTCAATTCTAATATACATTTTTTCACACTTCATCATTTTCCAACTTCAGAAATCCAGATGGCTCTTAAAATGATGAATACACAATGTATGGTTTCTTTTTCCTTTTCCCATAACTTGGCTCGTTAATAGACTGACATCCAATTTTTGGCATTCTGAAACAAAGCAATTTTTATTTTTTTTATTTTTTTATTTTTTTATTATTTTTTTTTTTTTTAGTATTCTCAGTATTTTATTGAAATAAAACCATGTAACGGCCATGACAATGATTTGAAATATAATCATCACCCCGAAAGGATGTCAACATCACAGTGTTTATAGAAGAGAATGCAGAAGATGCACATTTGAAAGCGAATGTAACATTGTAAAATCGACCCACATCTAGAACCATAAAAGTAAGGAAAGTCAAATAATGCAGGCTTATTTACATGATGGAAGAGGGAGGGGAATATCGCAGAGTTTCTGTCACACTTTCGTATAATATATGCATTTTCACCTACATTTAGTTTGTATAAAATGATTGGGCCCTAATCCCACTCTAGACCATTAGGTCAAGACCCTAAAACTTAAGAATGATTCCTTCCTCATTTTACAGTTTTATTCTTGATATTCCTCTAAATAAAGACCAAGCCCTGGCAGGTGTTGCTCAGTGATTAGAGCACTGGTCTGCACACACAGGGTCGCTGGTTTGATTCCCAGTCAAGGGCACACACCTGGGTTAGAATTCCCACCCTGCCCCCCAGTTGGGGGGAGGCAACCAATCACCTCTCTCCCCCTCCCCCTTCCCTACTATTCTCTAAAATCAGTGGAAAAAATATCCTTACTCCTCAGGTGAAGATTAAAAGTTAAAAAAATAAAATAAAAAGAAAAAGAAACCAAAACTATTTTGGAGCTGAATCATACCTAAAGTGTAATTAGAAAGTAACATAGTCACATAACAAGAGCCAAAAGAGAAATACAACTACAATTGCTTTACCTTCCAACTTCTGAAGTTATTGTACAATTCATTACAACTAAGTTTAGTTATGCATTCACTAGTTGATTTTTACCAGTCTCAAAATTTTAGGAATGGGCACATCCTAGTACCTGGAAACTTCCTATGTTACAAAGTAAACGCAAACATTTTCTATTTTAAAATTCCTGTTTTATTTCTGAGTAAAACAAAGAACTCCTGGAGGTCAAACAAAGAAAAGATATACCATGTTCATGAAACGAAGAGTCTGAGGTAGAAGTCAAGCAATATAACCCACAACATTTTTAGGAAGGTGTTTATTCCCAGCAACCATCTCACCACTCCAGAAAGATCTTATTTTTTTTTTAAATGTCTCAAGTTCAAAAAAAAAATTATTTTCCAAAGTCAGATGCAAAATGACGACCAACAGAACACACACACACACACACACACGTTTGTCTTGCTAACAAAGTAAACAGTTTTAGGAAAAGCTGCTGACGTTTCTCTCAGTAGTAACCGTAGGGAGGCCACTGGTTGTAGCCGTAATTGCCATACTGGTGAGGGTGGTACAGCTCTTGTCTGTGCTGCTGGTAGTTGTTACCCCAGGGGCGTCCGTGCCATTGGTTGGATCGGTTGTCACTGGGCCACCCCCGTCTGCTGTCCCTACCTCTAAACTGTCTGTTGTCTTGCAACCAATTGCCTCTATTCCTCTGGCCCCCACCCGCTCTGCTGTTCCAATCCTCCACAATCGGAGGGGTCGCTGGAGGGCGTTTCAGGTATTCCTGGTATTCTTGGTCATCTTCTGTGAATCGGCTGGCAAACATCTCTTCGAAATTCGGAGCCGCTTCAGAAGTATCAGTCATTCTGAAATCCTCACCCCTCCTCCAATTTTGATTCTTTACCCCAGGAGAAAATATGGCTTCTACGCAGTGCTTTCCAACTGACAAAATTGAGCAGCATTTGAATGAGCTCGGCAGTTCCCAGACTGTGGGGGAAGAATGATGTTGGGGTGGATGTGAACAGGTGTGTTCTGGTAAAGGGCAAGCCAATGTGGAAGCAGTGCCCACTGTTTCTCCTTCTCTTAGAGTCTCCACATGTGCACCATCACATCAAAGACCCTGGGAAGTACCGCAGTCGACAGCGTCAGCAATAAAATAACTTGGTTGTATTTATTAAATTAAACATTTCCCAGAACATTTTGAGGATTTGTGTGTAATTAGTGAACTGGCACATTCCAACAATTCTAGCAAGTGCTTTAATAGCTTCTGTGGATGGGGAAATTTTACCTAATATGTCATTAAAGTAAAGGGCATTTGTTAAATATGGATATTAATTGATTAGTGAACTCTCCAGGTGTTTGCTGTTTTTTGATTTCAGAATGGAGAGAAAACACTTTAAGCTGTGGTGGCTAAGAACGTCTCCATGGAGAAGCTAGAGTAAGAAAACGCTGTAAATGATGGCTGGCACTTTTGTAGAGGAAAAGGGGTGTTTCAGTTTGGTGGTGTAATGGAGCAGTAATGTGAAGACCTGTTCTGGTGTCTGCATATAGACACATTTCAGAGCGCATATGAAAAGGACCCTGCCTAGCACAGAGTGAGACCCTGTGAATCTGTGGTGGTCTGAGAACCTAGCTATTGTTAAGCTCTTTCCTTGCTTTTGTAAATTCACTGAAGGAGCAGATGAGTTCCAGTGACCACAGGAGAGCTAGTTGTGGATAAACAGGAGGGGAGGCACAGCACTCAGGTCGAAAACAAGGAGGGATGCAGGAGAAAGAAATGAAGAAAGAACTTGTTCTTAGTCCCTTAGAGGATAGTAGTTCCAGGTACAGAGGAATCTGGTCCAGTTGAGGAATTTTGGATATTTTGGAAAAGGGTGTTTTGGAAGACCCCCCACAAAGAAGGGTCTTAATTGGAGTTTCAAAAAAAAAAAAAAAAAAATAGCAAGAAGCCCTGCTGGTGTGGCTCAGTTTATTGAGTGTTGCCACATGCACTGAAAGGTTGCCAGTTTTATTCCCACTCAAGGCACATATCCAAGTTGCAGGCTTGAGCCAGGTGTGTGTGGAAGGCAACCAATAGGTGTTTCTCTTTCTCCCTCTCCCTCCTCCTTCTCTTCTTCCTTCTTCTCCTCCTTTTTTTCTCTCTCCCTCTTCCTTTCTCTTACCCCCCTCTCTTCCATATTCTCTCTCTCTCTCTCTCTCTCTCTCTCTCTCTCTCTCTCTCTAAGAAAAAAAAATAACAAAAACAAAGAACTTTTACAACTCAACAATAAATAAGGAAATAACCCAATTTCAAATGGGCTTAGGATTTAGATACTGCTTCCAAGAAGATATACAAATGGCCAATAAATGCATGGAAAGATGCTCAACATCATTAGTTATTGGGAAATACAAATCAAAACTATAGTGAGGAAACACTTCACACCCATCATGGTGGCTGTAATAATAATGATAATAATAATAATAATAAAAGATATAATAACATGTGTCAGCAAGGTAGTGAAGAATCATAATTTTCATATATTTCAATGTAGGTGGGCATGTAAAATTTTACAGCCACTTTGTAAAATAGTAGTTCCTCAAAATGTTAAGCATAGAGGTATCTCATGACCAATTCTACTCCTTGGTATACACCCAAGAAAACAGAGGACATATGTTCATGCAAACACTTGCACATAAATGTTCATAAAATAGCATTATTTATAAAAGCCCCAAAGTGGAAATAACCCACATTTCCACCTGCTGATGAATGGATAAACAAAATATGATATATCCATATAATTCTTTGAAAACATACTATATGAATAAAGCCAGACACAAAAGACTACATATTATATAATTCTCTTATGGAGGGTCCAGAATAGGAAAATCCATGATGACAGAAATTACATTAGTGGTTGCCAGGGGCTGGGGAGGGGAAGGAATGGGGAGTGACTATTAATGGGTATGTGGTTTATTTTTTGGGGGTGGTGAAAATATTCTGGAATTAAATAGTGGTGATGGTTGTACAACTTTGTGAATATATTGAAAACTAATGAGCTGTAGCCCTGGCCAGTGTGGTTCAGTTGGTCAGGCAGTATTTCATGCACCAAAATTTTGCTGATTCAATTCCTGGCCAGGCTGTAGGCTTGATCCTTGATAGGGGGCTTGCTTGCAGGAGGCAGCTGATCTCTGTTTCACTCTCAACTCTTACACCAATACCCCCCTTCACACACACCTCTCTCTCTCTCTCTCCATATATATATATATATATATATATATATATATATATATATATATGTACACAATATATGACATTTTTCAGAAACTACTGAATTGTACACTTTCAAAGGGTGAATTGAATGGTATGTGAATACCTCAATTAAAACAACAACAGCACAGCAAAAAGGCCATTGTGGCTGGGGCAAGAGGAGACTAACAAGAAAAAAGCGGTGAGGAGATCCAGGAGTTAGGGTATCAATTTCAGGCCAGATTTTCTGCTCTTGGGAAAATAAAATACCTAGATAATTTATTTCTCCTTGTTTGCTTTTGGGTCCCTTAGGATATTCCTATTACCATTTCATTCAAAAATCCTTCCCCTGAATTAAAAGTATTTTGTTCCAAGTTGCTCACACAGTAAGTGGGATAGTTTCCATGGCAAATGCCTGTGATCTCCAGATCAGCATGTGTTTCTGGATTTCCCTCTGGACACAAATTCCATATTTAGGCATCTGTGGTGATCCACCAGAGGGCATTAGTCAGTGCTGACTGGGCAACTTCTGTTTAGCTTTTCCCTTAAGATTTGACTCTGGTAGACATTTTAGTGTCATCTTCTAATTTGTTTATGGAACTCTGTCAAGGCCTTTAAAAAAAAATATCTGTATTAAACAGGGTTCACATGGCACTTGGCATTATACAAGCATTAGCGTGTTTGGGTCCAAGAGTCATGATACTACATGAGGTTTAATACCACCGAATTGAGGTCCTGTCCCCTCGGTAGAGATATTTCTTCTGTCTTTAGCAGTGTGTTGTAGCTGTGCTTCTGTAACTCATGGACAGGAAGCACCTGGAAAGCTTGTTAAAAGTGCTGATTCAGTAGTCCTGGGTTGAGGCTTGGGATTCTGCAGTTATAACAAGCTCCCATTGATGTGGGTGCTGCCGATCCATGGATCACACTGAATAGGTATTAGCTGACATGGTATAGAGAAGATGTCTTTGGAGTGGGATAGAGCTGAATGTCAAAGGTCACTCCACCACTCATTTTCTGTGGGAACTTGGACAAGGTAAGTGACATCTGAGCCACAGTTTTCATTATCTGTAAGATCAGAATAAGCTCTAGCTCTTAGAAAAGTGTCTAACATGATGCACCTGGAATGTTAGGTATTATTTGACTTTTTCCTTTCACAAGGGTTACAAATTCCAAGGTAAAGACCAAGCAAAAAATATATAAAAGAAAGCCACGAGTTTTGAAGAGGTTTTCTATTTGTGTGGAGGGGGTGGGAGAGAAGAGAGGATATAGGGGAAGTGGGATATGAATCCTAGTCCTCAGGACAATATTAATTTGCTTATTGGTTCGCAGGTTAGCATAGTTTTTTTGTTTATTTGTTTTAAAAATATTTTTACTGATTTCAGAGAAAAAGGGAGAGGGAGAGAGAGAGAGAAACATCAATGATTAGAGGGACTCATTGACTGGCTGCCTCTTGCACTCCCCAACTGGGCATGGAGCTTGCTGCTACCCAGGCATGTGCCCTGACCGAGAATTGAACCGTGCCCCTTGGCAGGTCAGTACTCAACCACTGAGCTATATCAGCTGGGCTAGCATAGTTTTAATAAAATAACTGTGCTAGTCTCAGCAGAGGCTGGATAATTTTTAATCTTTGCTTTCATGAAGTTGGTGTCTGTTTGACCACCAGGTCATCTCTGAGTTGCTCACTTGTTGCTACACTTCCTTAGTGGGGTGGACTCTGCCCATCCTTTCCTTGTTACCTTCCCTGCCTCACGGACTTTTCTCTCCTGGAGGAAGTAAAGGCAGCTCAAATGCAATACATTGAGTTTCATGAGCAACATGGGGTAACTTTCTGGTGATGAGATTGAAAATATTTGCTTCATTGTGGACTTCAGGAAATCTGGGCATTTCATTAGTTTATCTTCCTAACTTTGGATAGGTTAAATTGAATTAGGTTAATGGGGGAACAGCTATAGGAAGACCTGGGAACTAAATCCTGACACTGACTAATTCTCCCACCTGGAGCCTGTGTAGCTTGCTCTCAGAGAGCCTCAACTTTCTTTTGTCCCTACTTCCTGGGGTTAGGGCTCAAATGAATTGCATTAGAGAGGGCATTGTGAGCTCTCGGAGCATGCAGTTTCTGTAAAGTCTGCTCCATCACCCCACAGTGCTAGTAGAGGTACTTATGTCATCACAGGGTTACACAAAAATGAGTTGTGGCTTGTTATCTTTTGTTCTGTTTCTATTTCCTTTTTCCTCATTTGAAGTGGGAGAAAATAAGAGATTATGTTTATATTTCAAGTAAGCTGAGGGATTCTTTTCACTTTCTTCTAGGCGAAAAAAAGACACAACATAATGTTTAAGATTTTAACAAAACCACAAGTGCAAGAAACCAAACTCATTTCAAGTCCCCACAGCCTGAAAAACAGTGCTTTCCTAAGGATGGTGATTTGACCTTGTGAAGTCCTGTTCCACCTTCCTGTTTAACCATTTCTTGTGGGCTGGCAGGGTTGGGCCTTTAATGACTGATGACTTTGAAAGAAACAAGATGAGCCACTTTGTTAAGGTGCCAGACCTGATTGTTTAAATAAAAGTATGCTGCATCAACATCAAAGAATCAAAGATAAAGTATTGGGGTGGAAGCCTAGCTCTCCAGGCCTGATTGGCACTTGCTGTCCTTCTGGAAGGTAGAGGAGATTAGAG